AGTATCAAACATCGATGGCATGACGCTCACAAGTGGGGGGTGGCTCAAACGCCATTTCTGTTGTATACTGTTCAGAGTCTACGGTATCATGAGAGCAGCGTGTTAAAGTGTGTCTGTGGCTCAGACTGTCGCCATTCCTTTCGTATACTGTTCAGAGTCTACGGTATGAGAGCAGCGTGTTGAAGTGTCTGTGGCTCAGACTGTCTCCATTCCTGTCGCATACTGTCCAGTCTACGGTATCATGAGAGTAGCGTGTTAAAGTGTGTCTGTGGTGTAACCTGTCACCTGACGGTATCATGAGAGTAGCGTGTTAAAGTGTGTCTGTGGTGTAACCTGTCACCTGCCTTCCTCAGCCACGTGCAGTTGAGCTAAATCCCTAAACCCTAAAATCGGCCTAAAGTGTCTTGAATACGGGCGACTGCATAGTCCGTTTTGACACCCACAGCCCCATTTCTTGACAGGCAAGTGACAAATAGTATCCGCAAGTTGCAGTGAAGTGAGTCGTATTTTCCCTAAAACCCACAACCCAGACTACCAGGACATTCCACCGATTTATCGCACCAGCCCATTTTAGAAATATCCAGGTCGGCACTCGAGTGTACCGGCTGTTTTGACTCCACCACTCGAGTGTAACGGCTGTTTTGACTCCACCACTCGAGTGCACCGGCTGTTTTGACAATTGCATGTTCTTTAATAACAGCCTGTGTGTCCTTTATTGACACCCTGTGGCTCTGTTGGGAGGTTCGCGTCCAGTCCACGCACCTCTGTCTATGTAGCGAAGGCCCTATAAATAACTTTATGACTCTATGCACCTATGTCTCTACAGCAGGCGTATGTTAGGTTACCAGTGTAATGGGTCTATACCTCTATGACTCTATGTAGCAGGCCTTTATTAAAGCACTAGTGTAATGGGCGTATGCCTCTATGACTATGTAGCAGGCCTTTATTAAAGCACTAGTGTAATGGGTCTATACCTCTATGACTATGTAGCAGGCCTTTATTAAAACACTAGTGTATTGGCTGTATACCTCTATGATTATGTAGCAGGCCTTTATTAAAGCACTAGTGTAATGAGTCTATACCTCTAAGACTATATAGCAGGCCTTTATTAAAGCACTAGTGTAATGGGCGTATACCTCTATGACTATGTAGCAAGCCTTTATTTAAGCACTAGTGTAATGGGCGTATACCTCTATGACAATGTAGCAGGCCTTAATTAAAGCACTAGTGTAATGGGTCTATACCTCTATGACTATGTAGCAGGCCTTTATTAAAGCACTAGTGTAATGGACGTATACCTCTATGACTATGTAGCAAGCCTTTATCTAAAGCACTAGTGTAATGGGCGTATACCTCTATGTCTATGTAGCAGGCCTTTATTAAAGCACTAGTGTAATGTAATGGGTCTACAGCTCCAACGTCTTCTTGATGGGTTCAGCCACCACGTCCATGTAGAAGTCACTTAGACCGCCATACACCTCGCGTGCATACTCGGGATCGACGCGATACAGCTCAACGTACAATGGTTTCACGTACACACCTGTAGATGTGTGTGAGAGAGAGAGAGAGAGACGCACACAGACGATAAGATAAGCATTCTGTGATACAAGCTAATGAAGAGAGAGGGAGGCACACAGACGATAAGATAAGCATTCTGTGATACGAGTTAATGAAGTAGCAACGCTCTATTGCAGCATTGCGCAGGTCAATTGCCATGCACGATGTGTGAAGGCTTGAACACAAAATTTGAACCGACCTCAAAATACCTGTACATAGGAGACCAGGAAACTGAACAGCCCTACAAACCAATCAGCTGACAATCCCTAAACACTTACAAGCTATACTTACCCCGTCCGTTGCGGCTCAGATACGCCTTAACGCCCTCAAAACATGACCTGTGGTTATTCTTCAAACAAAGCAGGAACCATCGGAATCCAATCTCACAGTTCTTAGTCTCTGAGAAGTGGTATGTGCTGTCCATCCGGTCTAGTTTGTCGCCGGAGAAGTGCGTGTTCTCGTTTATAATGGTGTCCAAGATAACCATCACCTGATGCGCCTTCATGCCGTCTATATCACTCGCGTTGGCTCCGTTGCCGTCGTCGTGTAACCACGTGTGTGCTATCTCTTTGCAGCGTACGGTCATGGAGTTGTCGATATGGGCGTAGATGTCGTAGTCTGGCAGACCCACCCCATGCAGCCAATGATCCCAGGCCACACCAGACATGTCCACACCCGCTTTGGTGAAATGGGCCGTGAAGTGGTCCTGTGGGTGGGTTGAGTGGGTGTGAGAGCTCTATTTATTATTGAGCAGAGTCCTTGCATTCGTACGTGTAGAAGTAAACAGAGTCATTAGCACGTCCCTAATTGAACAGATCTATTGATACTATATGGGCCACATCACGATCTACACATCCATTGCAATATGCCACACCATACATGACACACTACACACAATTGATAGGCAACAACTAATAGGCCCCTAGACAGCAGCAGCCACCCCCACCCTCACTTCTCTCACTTTTCTCACGTATTCACGTACCCTGAAATCGTCCGTAGTCACACTCTGCTCGGCAAAGTCAGTAAAGTACGTGCGCAACCATGTGGTCATGGGCTGTTCTCCGCCCACAATGCCCTCGAGATAGTGCAGAAACAATGACCCCTTCTCATAGGGAATGCGGGAGAAGGACTCATCTGGGTCCACCCCCACAATCTCTGGCTGCAGTTTCAGTAGGTACGGCCGATGCGCCAGGAAGTTGCAGTTCTGTCGTGTGTGGTAGAAAAACCCAAGGGTTGTGGTAATTGTCATAAACCCAGGGGTTGGGCTATTTGTCATACGAGTGTGCCTGGAATCGTGCACAACGGCGGATTTTAGTCATCTGCCCACACCTCCAACGAAATAAAGCAATCCCGAGGGCAGCCAAACAGAGGTCAAAGGAAAACCAAGACGGACTGCAACACAGCACCACACTATGTGCACACACTATAATTAACTCACAATAGAATAGAAGGGCAAGACACTACACTCTAACACACACTACATGCTCAAGTCAATAAAATCAAAATGGAATAGAAAGGCAAGACACTACACTCTAACACACACTACATGCTCACCTTAATCAAATCAAAATAGAATAGAAAGGCGAGACACTACACCCTAACACACACTACATGCTCACCTTAATCAAATCAAAATAGCCGTATGTCATCTGTAGTCCACGGTACGCTGGCCCAAACATTGCGCCGAGAATTCGTCTCTCCACATAGCGCGTGAAACCCTGAGAAGAACAGAGCAACCAATCAAACCACAGCCACGCGACAGTAGGTATATGGTGTAGTAGACACCGCACACCGATCCCAAAACCCTAACCCTAAAACCCTAAACACCGGTTAGTTCAAGACCTCAAAGGCACGCGAACAACAACGATACAAACACCAAGGCCAAAATGAATTGGAGAATATACACAACAACAGGGATTGGGAAGGACAATGAGTCATGAAACACTCCAACAACAACCACAGCCAAAACACGCACACTCTAACAAATCAATACGAGAATATACACAACAGTGACTGAGAAAGACAATGAGTCATGAAACACCCCAACAACAACCACAGCCAACACACGCACACTCTGACAAATCAACACGAGAACATACACAACAGTGACTGAGAAGGACAATGAGTCATGAAATACCCCAACAACAACCACAACCAACACACGCACACTCTCACAAATCAACACGAGAATATACACAACAGTGACTGAGAAAGACAATGAGTCATGAAACACCCCAACAACAAACCACAGCCAACACACGCACACTCTAACAAATCAACACGAGAACATACACAACAGTGACTGAGAAAGACAATGAGTCATGAAACACCCCAACAACTACCACAGGCAGACAGTCCCTTCCATCTACGACACAACAGACACACACAAAAGACACAACAGACACACAACAATGACAGTACAAAGAAGCTCATCGATGCACTCGCACGGGAAGCCCTAAATACCAAGATACAGTTCATTTGCTTTCAGCATTCATCTCTCACCACAGCTACGACATACACACTGAACAGCCAACACCTCGTTTTAAACCCTAAACCCTAAAACGGCCCTTCTGAAGGATATCCAACGGAAGCCGCTGACACATAGGGGCGCCTTCAAAGGGGTTCACCTCAACTATAAACCCTAAAACCTTAAGACCCTAGAACCCTAAAACGTGTACTATAATCCATCTCAACTAACCCAACAACTGCCGATAGACGTACCTCATTGAGCCAGAAGTCTTTCCAGAACGCGTTCGTGACCATATTTCCGCACCTGAGCAATGAAACAGTCAAAAGCACAAGACGTAGAAGTGAGCACACGGAAACATTTTGCATCTCCGTTTAACGTTCGATAAAGTCGTGAGTGAGCCATGGCCACAGATACGACATATCAATCGCACCACACGCATGCAGATCTCCTTATGCACACGCCAAGGCACTACATCAGCTACAACCTACACTGCACACATCAACGGCAACTCTAAAGTGTTCAGACACCATGTGCTGCTCATAAGACTTGTTATTCTGAGTGTACACTACAGAACACCCCAAACTACCAACTATGCTTACCAACTATACATACCAACTATACATACCAACTATACGTACCAACTATACATACCAACTGCACACGCCAACTATACATATCAACTATACATACCAACTATACATACCAACTATACATACCAACTATACATACCAACTATACATACCAACTGCACACGCCAACTATACATACCAACTATACATACCAACTATACATACCAACTATACATACCAACTACACACACCAACTGTACATACCAACTATACATACCAACTACACAAACCACCTGTACATACCAGCTGTGGGTGATTTCGTGGGCGAGTGTTGTGGTGAGACTTTTGTCTCCGGCGAGCAACGCAGACGACAAGAACGTGGCATTGGGGCTGTGCACGACGAACCACAACAGCAACATCAGATGAAAGAAGCGGAAGTTAAGACACGCAATCTGTGACATTGGACTCAAACGTCAACGGACGAAACACAACAGCAGCGTCAGATGAAAGGAGCGGAAGATAAGACACGCAATCTGTGACATTGGACTCAAACGTCAATGGACGAAACACAATAGCAGCGTCAGATGAAAGGAGTGGAAGTTAAGACACGCAATCTGTGACTTTGAATTCAGACGTCAACGTACGGAACCACATTGATGGTGAGGTCCTAGGGTTTTAGGGTTTTAGGGTTTTAGGGTGTTAGGGTTTTATCGCAGTGATGATCAGTGCAGGTGGAAGCATGCCCAGTCCACGAATCGTCCGCAAGACCGTCGGACAATCAGTACCAACGGGCCGGACCCAACGCGTGGCAGATGTAACTTAAACTCGCACAGACGCCAAAAAATGAACCTCACAACCGAATAGCACGACACTCCACGGTAGTAAAAAGGACATGCACACACCTGTGTAACAGCAACACAAGGGCAACCAAACCCTAAAACCCTAAAACCCTAAAGGCACTTACTTCTCCATGCCTCCATACGCAAAGGAACTGGGCAGCATGACAATGTCATACGTCTTCCATTTGTATTCCGTACCGCACACTTTCTCAGCCTCAACAATGAAGGTCTCTGTAATGCCATCGTACTCCCATCTGCAAGTGAATGTACACCAAAGACATGAGACGACTGCTACATAAACACAACCATCAAACGACCACACACACCATCTGCAAATGAATACAAACCAAAGACATGACAAGTCAGTACAAACCAAAAATATGAGACCACTACTACACAACCACAACCATCAAATGACCACACACACCATCTGCAAATGAATACAAACCAAAGACATGGCAAGTCAATACAAACCAAAGACATAAGATCACTACTACACAACCACAACCATCAAACGACCACACACACCATCTGCAAATGAATACAAACCAAAGACATGACAAGTCAATACAAACCAAAAATATGAGACCACCACTACACAACCACAACCATCAAACGACCACACACACCATCTGCGAATCAATACGTCCCAAAGACATGACAAGTCAACACAAACCAAAAACATGAGACCACTACTACACAACCACAACCATCAAACTACCACACATAGACAGCTACAACACTTCTAACAATAACCACGGTAGCAATAGCGACAGTAGACCCACTACCCACATACACATCAGAGAACCCACCGTACAACCTAACACACACCTGGCAGCCTCGAGAATCTCTGGTTCGGCGTACAGGTCACTCCTTGGGCCGAGACTCGCCTTGGCCAACTTACCTACCGCCGCGGCAATGAGATAGGCCATGACAGGCATGGGCTGGTGGTACACAAACGTGTGCGTGCCATCGCCATTGGGTGTTGGCTCGCCTTGTCTGAGACCACTGCACACAGCCGTGAGGTCTGAAGGGACGGTGATGGTGAAGCTGAAGGGTGCCTTAACGGAGGGGGTGTCCTGAGGGGGTAGGCGGTGTGGGGGATGGAAGCGGGGGTAGGGTGGAGTGGACATATTCAGCGATGGCATGGGGTATCACTTCAGGGGTGTATTGACAGGGCGGGGGGTCTGGAGGCGATTGAATTTTAAACCCTAAACACCTGGGATCTATACATTTGCTTCTACATATACATATACATATATTTTTATATTTACATATATATATATATATATACGTACTTTTACTTATACATATACATCTACACATACATATACACCACAAGTTGTATCTCAAACCCCTGCGTTTCGAGTAAAAACCTGAACTATCTCAGTTGCTATGGCAACGGTACCTGGCAAGGCAGCACCGTGCGCGTCTGTATGGCCTGGCACTGTGTGAAGCAGAAGGGTTGGTCACCCCCCTTTGTCTGCGACGGTGACAGCCATTGGATTCCGCTGGACTGTGCTGTGGTGTTGTACTTGACTCTGACCTTCGCCTGCGATCCCTTGGTGCACGCATTGGGCGGTAGCTTCACCTCGAGACATGAGCCGCAGTACGCCTGGGTGGCAGTGCTGTAGTCTACACACCGCCGCACAGTAGTGAGGTGGTAAGCAGAGCGAAGAGATAGACACACGTGGGGGTGAGCAGAGTGAAGAGATAGACACACGTGGGGGAGACTTAACTCAGGTGACAAGGACGGACGAGTACATCGGAAGAGGATGTGGTGTAGTGCAATTGCAAGGACCCTGTACGACAGAACGAGGTTGAGGACCACATAAACCCGGTTTACAAGTCTCAGCGCAAGCAAGCAAAGCAATTAAAGCGGATGGAGTATGTGTATGGGAAACTACGGCTATGCATCAACTGAGAGGTGCTACACATGTGCCATCACTAGAGAGCACACCATTGAATCAAGAGGGCCTGTGGGGTGCTAGGCTATGTTGTGGTAAGCTGGTGCAAATAGGCTAATGACCAGGACTGTATATATATATATATATAGACCACACTGTGTATATATATATAAATAGGCCACAAAATAGCTGCAAATGGACTCATGCCCCTGACCTGAGCACCGCAGATCAATCAACCAAAAATAACCGAACGATGCTTGAGGATTTATCGTACGACGAAAGGACCACAAATAGGAATAAGCTACACGGCATACAGTGGGATGTCTCATGAGAGGGCATTCAATGCACAGACAGCGAAAGGGAAGCTGTCGGCTAGACTGGGGGTAAGCGAATGACACGAGTTCATTGGTGTTCGGATCGACGTTGGCGTTTACGCTGATATAAACAAAGCGTAAACATCTAAAGTGAGAGAATAACAAAGAAGTGTTGCAATGGTGAGCACATCGACATGTGCGGAATGTGCCAGAGGCAAGCTAATCCACTCAACGCTAAAACAAAAGGAAAACTTTTAAACTTATAGAGATGAGATCGTGTGAATACATTACTCAACTCCATAACTCACCCCATGCTACGCCCAGGCCAATAGAGTACCTGTTCTACCTGAGTGTGTTGCCAAACCAATCTTACACAATACGGAAATACAATGCATAGACAGACTACACCTTATCTCTCTAAGTCACAGGCAGATATACTGTGCACCGTATCCTGTTTTGAATCAGAACAGCAGCTAACCACAAATTGCTTACCCAATTTTTTTCCGGAATCGGCCTCGGAACATTCCTGAATTTTCAGCCCAGAAATGTCGAGTAGCACCACATCTGTGTCCTGCAACAAATCCACAGTGATGTCCACATGCCCATGGAACTCCTTTGCTTCAAAGTCACAATTGAGCACCAAATCAATTTGCGTTGTTTTGGCGTGTTTGAAATTCGCAAACGAGTGCGGGTCCGGGCCGAGCTCCATTGTATCAGTTATTAGTTAGTTGTCATGAAGCGATGTACCTGGTACTGTAATGTGGCAGTGAGTGTCGTATGCTGCAATGTGCTTCTTGTATAGTGTGGGCTATGAATGCTATAGATAGATTTCAATATTAAAATTAATATTTTTTCTTGTGTGGGAGTGACCTATATCACTAGTGCGGGCTATCCTATCACTATTAGTTTTATCGCTCTCTTGATTGTGTTGTTGTTTGACTGTTGTGTGGGATGCTCTCTCTCTCTCTACTGTCTCTACTACAGAGAGTAGTCACTGGTCTCTGGTAAGTCTAGTTGCGATGTTTGGAATTTGGGGTTTTTATTCATGTATTTATTTATTTTGTGATCGTCTGTGCTGAGCGGCACTAAAAAAGGGAGTTGCTCCCGCGCATTTACCGTATCACTATATATGTAAATAAATAAATATACAAATATTATATGGTTTTTTCCATAGAAAACCCCCAAAAAGAATACAGTGTAGGGTTGCTAGCCGCTAGGGTTTAAAAAATGAATCGCAAATTCCGCAGGACAGAGATGGCTCACACTATTTTCACATCGGTCATAAGTGGAAATAGGTACACACCCTTGATCGAGTAATCACACGCGCACGCTTGCTACTTCACATATATAGAGACCTTCGCCTTACAAAAGCATACATCATACTATAACCTTCTTTCACGGATCCGAGATGAGCAGACTGCCTTACGTTCGACTCCTACTAGGCGGGGTTACTATAACAGCCGTTTCTCTATCACTCGCCCTGCACGCAAAAGGGGAGTGGCAGGCCCCGGAAGGAAGTTTAATGAGGTATGAGGTTCTGTGCACTTCTACAGACATGGCTGCAATGGAATACTTGTGTACTTCTGTCAACAATTTGGAACAATTGGGAATATATCAGCGATGTGTACAACATGCAGGAACTGAGAATCTAACCAACTTTGAGAATTGCTGCATTTATAGACCTTACCTTGCTAAGGTACACGTGATAATATAGATATATATATATATTATATATATATATGTATATATATATATATATATAGATATATATATATATATATATATATAGTATATATAATATATATATATATATATATATTATTATATATATATATATATATATATATATATATATATA